ATTTACTCAAATTTATATTCATGAAAGCAGATGTTAAAATTTTCACTTGTGGAGAAATAGTCAATATGAACATTTACAGACCTGGAAATCAGCAAGTACCTCAGAGGATAAATTAGATCTTACAATGGATAGGCAAGTTGAATAAGTCAACATGGACAAAAAGGTCATCTAGTTATGGGAGTTATTACCATTTTTATTCTTGGTACTTTCAGATATGAGTACAGTTTTTAAAAATGATAATATTTGCTTTTTTAGAAACATCATCTCCATATTGTCCTACTAAATTTATCATTGTTGCGAGAATTGTCGTTTATGTGTTGAGTGAAGCAGTGTGTATTAGTTAATAACCCTAAGCGTCAACTCCTGGTTAAGTTGGGTAAGTTCGGGGGCACCTGGGTGGCTCAGTTGTTAAGCGTCTGCCTTCGGCTCAGGTCATGGTCCCGGGGTCCTGGGATCGAGCCCCGTATCGTGCTCCCTGCTCAGCGGGAAGCCTGCTTCTCCCTCTCCCACTCTGCCTGCTTGTGTTCCTTCTCTTGCTGTGTCTTTCTCTGTCAAATAAATAAAATCTAAAAAAAATAGAATAAAAAAGATAATAATTTTTATGTATACAAATAATATATATGTATACTCTTTTGACAAAAGTGTCACACATTATAGTATATGTATATAATGTAAAATCCCTCTAGAATCTGTGCGTGGTCCCTATCCACTACTCAAGAGAGGTAATCAGATACCTGTGTGCACCCTCGGATCACTTGCATTCTCTCTCTCTATCTCCTCTCTCTCTCTCACACACACCTCTCTTGCATGCATATCTGCAGAAAGGTATAGTATTGTGTTTGGTTTTAGCAAAAAGTTCATCACACTGTGCAAATGCTCCATTCACCTCTTGCATCAGATATCTTTCTTTGCCGGGGCAGAGAGCTACCTCATTCATTTGCTACAGAGCAGTCCAAAACGTGGATGTACTGGTTTTATTATTCATTTGTCTGTTGGTGGGCATCTAGCCTGTTTCCCCATGTTTCTACCCTTGGCACCAGTGCACAGTGAACATGCTTGTGCTTGTGATTAGTGTTCATCTTAGGTAAATACGTGAGATCACAGTGTCTTTAATTAGTATATATTACTTTATTGGCTTCTAAAGTGACCGTGACATTTTTAAAGAAAAGATTTCGGATTGTTTTGAAGAAGTTTTGTATTCTGGCAAGCCTGTCCCATAATTATTTTTTATTATTTTTATTTTATTTTACTGATAATGTATTTGTCTCCTTTAGGTAGCACTTGCAGCATATCATCCCAGATCAGTACCCTCTCCCTTTCTTAAAAAATAACCTGGAGGTCTCCTTTCTACTTAGAGTCACTGCAAAGCTTCTCCAATCCATGGTCCCAAAGTAACTTTAACATTCTCTAGTGGTCAATTTGCCAGTGAGACATGATGGCCGAGAGGCTTAGTGCTGGTTCTGTCAGCCTTGTGATCTGGGGCAAGGTATGTTCTCCTAGGCTTAGGGTCAGGATTGAATGAGTTACTGTATGTAAAGCATATGGCGGGGCATATGGTACATAGCGGGGACTCAGTAATTGTTGGCTGATTCTTCCATGTAGCTGCTGCCCGTTACTCAGCAAACACTATCTGCCTATTATGTGCTGGGAGCATAAAGATAAATAAGACATGGTCCCAGTGCTTGAGGAGCTTACATTCTAACATGCATGTGTTTGCTCAAAATCTAAGTACTTATTCCCTTCTTTCTATTTAAACTCTGTCCATGGCCTAGTTTGCTTTCCTCCCATGTCAGCTGACTTCTGCATCATGAAGGACAGCCTCTCACATCTTAACTCATTCTCTTTAATGGTGATTCAGCACCTACTACATCCCCAAATTATTGTTAAAAACTGGAATGCAGAGATGGTGTGTAAGACAATCTGTAAGGAGCTAACAGGCTCCAGGGAGGAGAAAAAAACAAAAAAAACAAAACTTCAGAGTTCTGCAAGACTCTTTCCGCTTCTCTATGATGGCTTTCCACCTGTGGACTTGCTCTGTTTTTACCTTGCATTGCCTCTGTTAAAGATAAATAATCTCCATTCTCTCTTTCTGGGGACAGAGGGTGAGGTGTTAGCAGCAAGGGAGTTCTTAATTCTCTGTCTTTATCAATGACATAACTCTTTGGACTACGCTTGTTAGGTAGGAGCTGTTTTCTTTCCCAGGACTGAAGAAAAACCAGAGGGGCTTAGAAATTCCTGGCCATCCATGCCCAGGTGGAACCAATTTGGTAAAAGAACCTTTTGCTGCAAAGATTCTGCAGGTCACTGAGACCGATCGGTTCATACCCATGCTTCCCAGGGAGTTCTCCCCTCAATCCCATGAGCTTCTTTGGGAATGGCACACTTTAGGGAATTCTTGACCTAGAGTAGGAAAAGGTAGCAGTCCTTTATCCCCCTCACATAGATTCTTCTTTAAAAAGTAATAAATTACCTTTGATGACTCAGGGATACCTCCTTGCTTTGATTACCATTACAAGATTTATTTGGTTTGTTCATAATAAGTGTATTAGGTTTGATCTTACTTTAAAAGCCTGTCCTGGCACAGATGTCTTGCTGAACTGTGAATGGACATCGAGGCTCCTTTTAAAGGAGACTTAAGCATTTGTTGCCACAACCGGATCTGAGCATAATACTGAGCTCAAGAAAGATCATTTTCTCAACAGAAATAATTTATTATTGCCAGAGGTAATGTGAAATTATTTATTTTTTCTTGAAGCATGTTTTTTGTAAATGTTTTCCAGAGATACGTGACTTGAAATTAATGACACTCTCCTTTGTAAAGACTTTATTTCATTTCATGTACTCTATTGACCCCCTGGGAGAATATCCAGTCTAGAGAGGAGAAAACGGACGTGGTGCCAAACAGCCACGAATGCCTCCAGTAGATGAGGTGTTCGCCTGAATGCTTCATGGGGGACTTCATCCCTATGCTGTATTTTGTGTTTTTTGGCATCTTTGGTTCATTTGTGGAAGCTTGTCTGTTAGAATTCCATATACATTTCATTGGCTTTGAAAGATATTGGGGTTGACATAAACCTACTGAAAGGAAAGTTTGCATCGAAAGTAATACATTTCCTAGTCAAAGAAAACACCGTTGTTCTGGCATCAGTGGATGTGATTTTTGTTTTCTTTTAACTTCCCAGTAGTAGTGAAGCTATTTGGGTCAGTTATCTGGTAATTGTCAGAAGGAAAGTTATATGTATATTTTACTGGTTAGTGGTTCAGACTGGCCATAAAGTGGGAGGGAAAAGAAAAGGACCTTCTTCCCCCACACATGAGGTCATACTGCTCATCACAGCTTTATGAACATAGTAAGAAACTGAAGTCATCTCTGACTGAGGTTGTCGAGTTGGAGGCGTAACATCTCCCAGAAAAGAACTTCTGTGAGAATTCTGAAAAATCTGTTGATGGAGGCTTCTGCCCATTTAGTATTGTCAGCATATTACTATTGATGTCTTACAATTTCCGGTGTACTTCTCACATAAACCTATAGTGCCTCAGCTAGCTGCATTTTCATTATTTTCCACCAGTCCCACCGATTCAAACTTCCTTCCTTTAACTATTTGCTTTCATCTTCTCTAAGCACTGGGGATTCTTCTTGGCTTCCAGAAAAAGTCCTCCTTACTCCCTTCTCCCACTCCCCATTTCTCTTTACATAGCCTTCTTTGTCTAAAGAGTGTCCTGGTGATCAGCACGCTGTGACAGAGTGTGTGTGAGGCCTGGTGGGTAACGACTGACAACTGCAGGTACGTGTCCAGGGCTCTTAGAACCTTAAAAACCTTCTGCCGTATGAAATAGGATAGGGCCAGTCTTTCTTCTTTTGATTGCTTGCTTTCCTGATTGCTCTTTTGTAGGAGATCCAGTATCTCTTCTACATACTCAGTCTGTATTAGGAGTGTTGGATTTCTCCATAACTCCCCTCTCCGTCTCGGAAATAGACCCAAGGCTTCACTCAGGACCAGAAGATATAGTTAGGGTGGCATGACAGATAGAAATTAGTGAAAAGTTTAGGCTTATCCAAAAAAATAAATGTTTGATACATCTGGGACTTCTTCAAGCTGTCCTCTGCTTTATATAGCAAAGGACAAAATGAATCACTCCATAACAAGGGGTCCTAAGAGATACCAAACTCAATTAAAATTGATTTAACTTGGGGCACCTGGGTGGCTCAGTCGGTTAAGCGGCTGCCTTCCGCTCAGGTCATGATCCCAGGGTCCTGGGATCGAGCCCCGCATCGGACTCCCTGCTCGGCGGGAAGCCTGCTTCTCCCTCTCCCACTCCCCCTGCTTGTGTTCCCTCTCTCGCTGTCTCTCTCTGTCAAATAAATAAATAAAATCTTAAAAAAAAAATGATTTAACTTCTGGGGAGCTGTCCAGATTATACTCCACAAATACTAATATGATAATATCCATTTTAGCCATAAAGCATCTCATTGGATCTCGTGTCTCTTTTCCTAGATTATAGATCATGGGCAGTAATAGACTGTCTCTCGAACCAACAGAGTGTAGACCTCACTGCTTCAGATTTCCAGCACGGAAGGCGAGCCGTGAAGAAGTAGGCTCACATGGCTCTGTTGGAGAATGGCCGTACACGTGACAGGCGGCCTGGCCTGGAGTGGGGCTAACCTTTTCTCATTTAAAATTCTCTTTTCCCTCCAGAACTCATTGGAGAATCATTTGCATGTTATATTTCATCTGCGTTTATCTCATCCCAAGCTCTTCATCCTTCTGTTGAGTTACATGTTCTCCGGAGTAAATGTTTTCTACTGTCTGACAGTGTAAAAAAAAAAAAAAAGAAAGAAAGAAAAGAAAGAAAAAGGTGAACGGTGGCACAGTTAGCATGAAAAATGGTGAAGATAGGAATAGAAAACGGGAAAATGTATGTCACTCTGGAAGTTCTGTACAGTATAAGAAAAGTGGAGCAATCAATTTCTATTAACATATATATTCTTTTAAATTTAGGAATAGACGGACAGTCTGTGGAAGTGTCCAATATCGTGGACATCCGAAAAGAACATAACCGTGAGATTGCAATGAGAATTTCTTCTAGCATAAACAGTCAAAACAAATTTTATACTGACCTGAATGGATATCAGGTAATTTTCCCTTAAAATATCTAAGTAATAGCTGTGTTAGTGTGTAACTTTTATATATGGTAGTGGGCCAGTTAATTTTGGATCCTTTGAAAAATATGCTTAAGTTAAAAATTATTTCTAAAGGAAAACTGAATTTTAACAGGTACTTATAGGTTCTATATTCAACCAGATGTCCAAAGTTAGAACAGATATTTGAGAGATTGGTTTGTAGAGCATCTGATTTACAGAGGTAGTTTTTTCAAAGGCAGATTTGGTGACCATTTGCATGTTAAATGCCTTGACACCAAAATATATCTGAATTTGTTTAATAGAAAGGAAACATAATTAGGGATTGGTGGAGTATGTATTTTTCCCCTCATAAAGAAATGGTATGTGTGTATTTAATTTATTACATATATACTTTTAAATGTATAATGTAATAATGGGCTCTTTTAAATTTCAGGAAAGCTCTTTCCCTCTTTTTATCAATAATGTATGTGTATTTACCTTTATGCACACACTTGTGTACATATACATAGACAAAGAAATACAAGCACATATATAGAAATGTGGGCAGGTATGTATTTAATCAAAATGTTCACAAAATAGTTTGAAATAGTAATGAGAAAATTGACTCAATTTTTTTCAGATTGTTAGCTCTCTAATTTAATAGGGCTCTTTTGATTGTTACATAAATTTCTATATTCAGAGTATATGTGTGTGACAACATAGCTTTGAAATACTACCACTAAAAACATTAGCATGTTTTTGAGACATTAGCATTTTAGAAATTTCTGGCTATGAATAGAAATAATTTCACAACAAATGCTTTTACTTTGTCTGATTTTCAACTGGGATGAGTGGAAGGGGTTGTGATAATTTTCTCTTCTACAATTTCCTGCAAAGGTTAAATTTAAACCTTTTCCAAAGCATAAAAATTGCATTATACACTTTGAATTTACATGTTAATTCTACCACAGCTGTTTGGTTTTCAGATGAAGCCCTGACTTTATGGTGATTCATTTTCCTTGTGTACAAAAGAAACTCTTTTCTTAAAATCTTACAAAAGCAATTATTTGTATGTGTGGGTGTATACATGAATGAAAAAAACTTAGTAAAAGTGAATAAACATGTGAATTTTCTTTTCAAGGATCGAGCATTTGAATAAATGGGAAAATATTATTTCTAAACTTCTAAATTTCTAAATTTATGACCTAAATATTTCTGCTTCTAAAATAGGCCATTTTTTAAGCCTTGGAAAGAGTAGTCCTTGAGCAAAACTAGAAATCTAGACCAACAGGTAGGGAGTGAGGGTGGCAGCCCTATAGTCATGACAGTGTGAATGTCCTTTTCAGTGTGTATACAGGTTAATTTGATTGGGAAGATCCAGATTGGAAAGGAGAAATGGAAAATTCTTTGAAACTCTCTCTTCTTTTTTCTTTCTTTCTTTCTTTTTTTTTTTTTTTAACATTTTGCAGTTGTTTCTTCAGGTTCATAATTTCCTGGGCCTGTGATACAAATTACCACAAAATGGGTGGCTTAGAACAACAAGAATTTATTCTGTCATAGTTCTGGACACCAGAAGTCCCAAATCAAGATGTCTTCAGGGCCACACTCCCTCCAGAGGCTCTAGGGAAATACTCTTCCTTGCCTGTTGGGGCTTCTGATGGGCTTGTAGACCCATCACTCCACTGTCTGCCTCTGCTGTCCCAGAGTCCCTGTCGTATTCTCCTTGTGTTGCCGTGTGTGTCCTTTCGTGTCCAGGTTTCCCGCTTAGAAGGACACCAGCCCTTGGATTAGAGCCCACCCTAATCCACTATACCTTATGTCTATAGAGATCCTATTTCAGAACAAAATCACATTCACAGGTTATGGATGACCATGAATTTGGGGGACACTATTCAGTACAACCAGTAAGTTAAAGGATGCACTACAGGGTTGTTGTAAAGATTAAAGATCATATTTGTGAATGCCCGTACTTTGCCTCGTTATAATGGGCACTCAATACTATTACATTAACTTTGTACTCCTTTTCTTCTTGAGTGTCATGTCAGACTTGCATGAGCTGAACAGGAGAGATGTCATTTTTATGTGGTGTGAATAAGAGACCTCATAACAAAGTCTCTGTTTGATGTTTCCTCCTGAGGTTTGAGGGACTCTCCTCAGCCCCAACCAGCTTAGTGAATTTTCCGTCAAAAAATAAAATAATGTATTTCATGCATTCACATACCAGACCAAGAAAAGTTAAAATATGGAACTACCTACATTGACACTAAACAGGAAGAATAAGCACTGAAGAGTTTTTAAATATAAATATTAATTTGATTATTTTAATGTAATATGTTAGAGGATTTGATAAGGGGATCTGTGGTATTTATTAAAACTGAATCAAGAATTATAAGAGAGATTTTTTGAAAGGGGATAGAGAGCTATTATGCTTAGCATTCATTACAAAAGCAGTATGTTAGATTTAGATGAGAAATGAATACTTGATACCTTTACAATTTGTTTTATACAAATATTGGAAAGCTAGAAGACTTTTGTTAAGGATTTTTATTCTGAATTTAAATAGGAATGCCTATTTTAAGAACCTGGATAAGTTCTACCTTTCTCACCTAAAAGTTTTCTAAGATCCTCCTTATTTTTTTTTTTTTCATATTGTTTGAAAGAATGTTTTAATTCCTAAATTAGCTCTTCCTTTGAACAAGAAAGGAAGCTATACCTTTTTCTTTTTGGAAGAAATGTCATCTGTAGTCAGTACTAATTTTTTAAAGTACATCTGTAAATATCCCTTGATTTCTTTTTTTTAAAGTGAGCTGTTTGGTCTTATAGATTCAGCCCAGAATGACGATGAGCAAATTGCCTCTTCAAGCAAATGTCTATCCGATGACCACAATGGCCTATATACAGGACACCAAGCATCGCTTGACATTACTCTCAGCTCAGTCTTTAGGGGTTTCAAGTTTGAAAAGTGGTGCGTGTTGTTTGGATTCTTTTTTGCTCTTACAAGTTTCAGTTCCAAATGTATAATTTTTCTGTTGGTCATATTATTAATTATCATCTTCAGACACCAGCTATTAGTTAATTTTGGTTTTGTGAGAATAACATAAAATAATGTATTTCTTCAATCTTCTGATGAAGAATGAGGGACCTAAAGCTCCATGAAACCATGGCTTCTTAAAGATAATTTTTCTCTCCTGATAGCTCATTGTTTGCACAAGCCTCTGTCGTTATCATAATGGAATGGCTGTGGAAACTCTCCCAGAAGCCAAAGAGGAGAGGGAGCTGGGGTAAAAGTTAGAAATTCCCAGAGTTGCCTAAGTTCGCAAAGGCGGGACGTAACAGTTCAAACCTAGGTCCTTCTCTGAATCGTATCGTTCTAGGGCACTTCTACCCGAAAGAAGAAAGGGAGTTGCAATGATACAGCTAGGCAGATAAAGAGGTGACAGACACAACTTTAAGGATTCCAAAAGATAGAACAAGATGGAAAGAGAAAATAAATCGTAAACACAGATTAATTTTTATAAAACCTTCTATGGAGAGGCGTATGTCCTTTATAATACATATTTTTTCATTATCATTTATATGTAGTCAAATTGCTCTTCTTTCTTACATATTAAGAGTTGCTAAGACAAATGTCTTAAGGAGCCAGGCAGATAATAAAGGTGTGCAGGTACCTGACGTACCCTTTGCCCCAAACCCACTTTTTTAATTGGGCATATACATACATTCCATATGTCCACCCACACAAAAAAGCATACTACTCATCTTCTTTTGTGGCTTTCATTACACAGACTCATGAGATGATGCCATAAAGACATTAACGCTGTTAGAAAAATAATAATGGCCTCACATCAGGGATGCAGCGGGGAGTGTTGGGGCTTCGGCAAACTGGGGCACACCATTCCCAGTGAACGGTGGGGCAGCCGCTGCTCAGCGCCAGGTTGTTGTCACCATGGGGAAAGGGGCCCAGGGTTGCCAAATTTTTCTGCTTCTGAAGAGCCCAGGAGTCTGGAATTTTTTATGTTTTTATTTTTATTTTTTTTGGAGATTTTATTCATTTATTTGACAGAGAAAGAGAGAGACAGCGAGAGAGGGAACATAAGCAGGGGGAGTGGGAGAGGGAGAAGCAGGCTTCCCAGGGAGCAGGGAGCACAATATGGGGCTCGATCCCGGGACCCCGGGACCATGACCTGAGCTGAAGGCAGCCGCTTAATGACTGAGCCACCCAGGCACTCCATATGTTTTGATTTTTAAAAAATTAAGTCAACTATTTATAGATTGGACAACTTCACATAAAATTCCTAAATGTGGTTTAGGGACAGAGGAGCTTTATTTCTCAGCTTGCCTTTGTCAAGGGAAGTGACATAACTGTCTACTCCATGATTGCTCCAGTCCTAATGTCTAGTTCCCTATTTAAGGACCCAGCTTTGAGAATTTAAGGCAACGTTTAAAAATGGGGGGCTCAAGAGTCACACCTGGCCCAGGTGCCCCTGCTACAGACAGCCAAGCACCCTAGCATTTCAGTACCTACAAACAGAAGAACAATTTGAGTACAGCCCAGGAGATTTACTGAGTGTCACATATTATGAGGGCTAACATTTGGAGGCAGGGAGAAGAGAGAAACTGCCAAGAGATTGATGTACTCATTTGGGTGTGACATGATCAAGCTCTAGATGGCCAATTCGTCCCAGTGCCTGAGGAGCACATTCTAGACAGTTGTGTTCTAAAATAAATATGGAGGTAGTAACAACGAAAATTCTGACCATCACTGGCAGTTTTATGTACTGGGTACCTAAATTGAGGAGAAAGAACTAAACAGAGTTGGATTGACTGTGTGAAAATAATAGTTATTAAAATATTTTATGTATTGCTCTTTTATGCCAAAAGATCATTTAGTACTGTAACAAATGTGAATGAGTGGATGGATGAATATGCATATATTTTTATGTATGACTACGGTTTTTTTTAGTGTAAATATATGACTGTGGCTCTGGGTGGTTTTTTGCTTTGTTTTGGATAGGGTTTTTTGGTTTGTAGTCTCATAGCCTAATTCTTAGCTTACAACTTAACCTAGAGGAGGTGTGGAATTACTGCACAGCCAATGAAGGAACCAAATATGACCTCTTCTTGAACTAGAGGAGAGAGGATAGTTGATGCCACTAACTTAATACCAGGGAGGGAAGGGGGTACGTGCTGGGTGTCTCCAAATCCTGGGGTTTCTTCAGAGAATCACCAGATACCAAGTAACCAAAACGCTTAGTCTTTCAAATCCTTTTTAGATTCTACACATCTGTATTTGCCTTGTTACTCCAGGTGTGATGTATGTTTCCTAATGAACCTCGTAAATGTTTTTAAATTCCAGGTGCTACCACTAAAAATTTTAGAGGACATAATTTACTCTTCAGATTAATTCTTTTTAAATTTCACTTAAGTTTTGATCTGTCTCATTTTTAAATTTCTTACCAAATTTTACCAGACATTTATGAAGAAGAATGGAAATAAAGTCCTGTTTTTTGCATTTATCCTAGCTGTTTTGAGAAAGCCCTTGGTACTTTGGGCTATATGGATCTGTCTCCTTGGCTTAAATCAGGACCGTGCCTAAACTTATGTGATTGTCACTGGATGTTTGTATTAAATAACTCTGGCCAGTTTGTTTGTTTGTTTGTTAGGTCAGATTGAAGTTATCATGGATCGAAGATTCATGCAAGATGATAATCGCGGCCTTGAGTAAGGTGTCCATGATAACAAGGTTACAGCTAATTTATTTCGACTACTACTGGAAAAAAGAAGTGTGAATACGGTAGGAAAAAAATAATAACTCATACGTTCTGATGTTGTTTGTTCTTTGCCACCCAAAATTTGAAATTATGACTGTCCACTTTTTTTATGATTTTCAGTTCCCAGGATTGAGATATCTTTATAATAGGTGTAGCCTATATTGACAAAAAAGAGAACTTCGGTTACACATATGTCAGATTTGCATTTAGGTCATCTTATTTTTTATTTTTCCTTATTATGTAGATGTAAAATGTTAAAGAGTCAGTTTGGGTGACATTTTCTGAGATTATTTTGAAAGAAAATAAGAGTTGAATTTAAGAATAGAACTTAATCACATACTTAGATTAAGTTTGATTAGTAAAATTTATGGGAAACCTTAGTGTGCTTATTCTAGTCTTAGACTCCTCAATTGAAAATGGATTTACTTGTCTATCTTCTTGCTCAGTTTTCATTTCTCAAGACAAAACCTCAGCATTCCATTAAAAAAATCTGGCTAAAGCTCAGTTGGATGTAAACCAACATGACAATACGCCTCTTCAAGGCTACACAAAAGTCATCATCACAGTCCTCCGTGCTTTACTGATTTCCCACCTCAGATGATCTGTACACAGCCCTTTTTTTCTCACTCTGCTCTCCTTCTTTCTTCACTGATCCATTTCAGATCTTTTCTACTCTTTTTAGCTGGTGGCCTCACCATCGACTTCACATCTGACAGGGCTCTCTGTTCTAGGTATCAACCATCTCCTCCCACCCTTTCCTTCTTCCCTCATGTTGCAATAGAGACATTTTTACCTTCCTTTCCTCCCAGGCCAGTACCTCCACTTGTCCTTGCAACGTACCCCAGCGCCCTCCTCAGCATCATCATCCTCCTTCCCTCTCTCTGCCCTTCATAGCTGACATTTCCCTAGGAAAGAAACCCTTTCTGCAGGCTTTTAGACACTCTTCATTTTCTCCTATTAAAAATAAAAACCAAGGGCGCCTGGGTGGCTCAGATGGTTAAGCGTCTGCCTTCGGCTCGAGTCATGATCCCAAGGTCCTGGGATCGAGTCCCACATCAGGCTCCCGGCTCAGCGGGGAGCCTACTTCTCCCTCTGACCCTCTCCCCTCTCATGCTGTTTCTCGCTCGCTCGCTCTCTAAAAAATAAATAAAATCTTTAATAAATACATACATACATACATACATACATACATACCAAAAACAACCTCCACACAGACTCATGTCCATTTGCCCTGCTCTCCCGTCCTGTCTTCCACACCCAGTTGAGCCGCTTTGGAAGATGGGTTTATTTCATTGCTTCCGAGTCACACTCAACTCATTTCAGATTTGCTTTAGCTTCCCCCACCACACACACACCCTTGCCAGTGTCACGAGATCCACCATCTTACTTCACCTTGCAGCAGCATTCGACACTGACCATGTCACTTCTTAGAAGACAGTCTAGCCAGGGCTTCCGTGGTGCCATGCTCATCTGGTTTTCCTCCTAGCTCTCAAGTGGTTCTTTATCTCTCTGATGGTTATTAAGCCATTAAATGTCAGAGTCCTCAAGGGTTGGCCCCATGCCTTCTCCTTTTCTCGTTTTATATGTTCTCACTCTGCAATCTCTCCTACTCCTGTGGCTTTGGTGACCACCTCTACGCAGATGAAACCCACACATATATTTCACCTCTTACCTGCAGACCCATCTACCTAGCTGCATCCTGCTATTCAGACCCGACATATCCATGATCACTCTCATGATCTCTCTTCCCTTCCCCCCAGACCTGCTCTTTTCTAGTGTTTGCTCTCTCGGGGACTAGTACCACCTTCCATCCAGTGCCACATACATAGCAGTCATCTCTCATTGATACTTCTCCTTTGCCTGCCCCTTTCTTAAAACAATGATCACCAGTGTTGACTATCTTATTGCCTAAATATTTCAAATCTATAAACTCGCTTATTTTGACCACCATTATCTAAACAAACATCATGTGTTTCCTGAATCATTCTGCTCTTCTTTTCCTGCCATATTTGTTCTCAAATCAAGTAAGCAAAGTGATTCATCTTTTCAAAATTCAATCTGACCTCACTGCTCCCTTCTTAACCCTCAGGTGTCTTCTCATTGCTCTCCTAATAAAAGCCAAAATCCTTCCCATGGCCTGAAGAGCCCCTCATGATCTGGGCCCTGCCTGTCCCCCAGCTTCATCCAGCATGACTCGTGTTATTTCTGCTCTAGGCCCACTAGTTTTCTTTCAGTCCCAAGTGCTCCCTACGCACCTGGGGCCCACAGCACCTTTGCATTTGTGGTTTCATTCTGTGCCCAGGGAACTCTTCATAATAGTTCAGGCCAAAGCTGCCTTGGTCAACTGCTTTTTCTTGACCAGGCCAAATCACCATCCTCAGTGCCTCCTCAGAATTGCGCATCTGTCCTCCGTGCATAGATGTGATTATATTTGATCATTGTCTCTCTCCTCTTTTGGACCATAACTTCATGAGAGTGGGGGCCATGTTCCTCTGCTTCTAGAATTGTTCCTGGTAGAGGAAGCACCCGATATGTGTTGCATGAATGAATGCACAAATGCATAAATGAGTGAGCTGTAATAGCGCATGGTGCCACCGCATTTATCCCAGCCCCTGCTTACTGCCTTGTCATACTCGGCATGTTCTCTTCCCCTGCTCCATTCCAGGGACTTGTCTGCTTCATTTTTATGTACCCCACAGGGCTCCTTGCCTATGGTAGCTATTCTATAAATAAAACACTGGTTGATTGAATGAAATGGCAACAGCTCATTAAAGCCAAGAATTCTTTCAGTATCTAGAATCTTTTAGGAAAAAAGGTTTTAATATCCATTTTTAGATGTCAAGATTTAAACCAGTTCTTGGGACTCATGGTTTAAATCAATTACTGACAAGATAGCTTAATTTGAGGACTAAAACTGCGCAGGAAAATCATTGTCTGAGTGCTGGCAGCTACTGTCTTTTTCTCCTCCCGAAAATGTCTCTGGCTTTTATGATTTTTTTTTCTCTCTATATAGACACTAATTTGCAAAGCTTCTATTAACTATGGCAATAAGCATTTTCATGTCAGATCTATAAAGCTTTCACTTAGAAGTGAAATAATTTGTTTATTCCCATTCAAAACTCCTTGGATAGTAATTGATTGAAATTTGATCCAGTGTTTGTATAATCCTATGTTGGTTAAATTTTTCTTTTTGCTCAACTATAGATTCTTGGACTTAAATCAATAGTTTCTTTTAAATAAAAAATGAACTAGAGAAGAGAAAATACATTTTAATTTCTAGTGCAATTGATTAAAAAGGCATTTGATTAAGGAATGTTCCATCTCCTATAACTTAAACTTTACAGAAAGTGTTTTTATTTTCAACTCAGACTCTCATGTTTAAGATGTCGATGGTAGGAACCATGGTGAGGAGACAGTCTCTGTACAGGAAGGCATTTTAGTAGAAAGTCTTCAGCCTGCCAGTGCCTCTGGGAGGAGTTATCTGGGTGACTAAGTGGAACCGAATCCTGTTCGTGAGTGTTCTGCAGAGAGGCAGTGAGAACAAGGACTGGAATGATAATTGCTGTGAGATGTGCAGATGCCCAGTGGGTTACTGTAGCTATGTGAGGTGGACTATCATCCATGTGTAATGACCAACGGAAGCGGAAAGTGGGAATTGTCTCTTTGGCATTGACCCTTTAGGTTTTGTTTCTTTGACACTTACTCCCTATCCCTTCCTGCTGAAGACTGCTATAGGTAGAGGGCATTGAACCAGGAATTAGAAGTGCTGGGAAGTGTTCAGGTATTACAGTTGTGTCATTTTACCTGTGGATACCAGTTCTTTACATGTCAGGAAAAGGAGCTAGGAGAGATCAGATGAAAAGCTCAAATGCTGACAGGACTCAGAAAAGTGATGGCATGAGGGAGGTTGGTCAGGTTTAAGGGCAAACGCGTAAGTGTGGTGACCCCAGGTCTGTGATGAGTGAGGACACATCCCACCAAGGAGCTACAACTCAGCTGCACTTGAGGGTATATGGGGGCCCAGGGTGACTTGGGTTTCCAGTGTTTTGGGTTAAAAAAAAAAAAAGTTACCTGTTTTAGGGAGTTTTTTTGTTGTTGTTGACAATTTCACTGTGAAATCTCCTGGATTTCTTTTCTTTTTTGAGAGTTGGCCAAAAAACAGACAACTTTTTAATACCATGCAGACCTATCAAAACCTATCTGTAGGCAGATTTAGCTCACAGATCACCAGGCTTCACCTCTGCGCTAAATGAAATATATTTCTAAATCTTATGATTCATTAATTTTCATCAATTATTTCTTCTGTCTCTTTTTACCACATCCTTTCTCCTACTGTATTTTTCTCTCCTTTATTTATATTACATTTACTTGTTGATAGATTAAGTTTAAAAAAACATTTATCAAGTTCTCACCATGTATCAGGTCATACTGAATAAGCCAAAGTGACTCAAAATATCATCTCTTATTGTCTTAGATAATTTATTTAGCAAGTTTTGCTGTAGATGGATGGAAACCTTTGATGTTTAGGGATCAGATAACTTAAATGGGCTTCATGAAGGACACCATGGAGCCTAGCAGGAAGTTCTGATTTATAAAATAAGGGCTGGAACCCAATGGAGATCTCAACTTCTTGTGGTTTGGATCAGAATGTGCTATAAACTCTTTATAATTTCATACAGAATGCAAGGAGAAAGCTAGATCTGAACAGCTTGAAGCCTTCCAACCCACAAGGAACCAAATAATGTTTAGAGTAGTATATTAGTACTGCAAGGCTGGAGAATTCATTTACAGCTTAAAATTTCCTATAGCAAACATGTGTTATAAGCTTTGGGTTTATCATAAAGGTTACAGTTAAAAGATTACCTTTCCAGGAGATTAATCAAAAGGTGATGATTCACCAGCTAAATATCTTGTCGAGCCCCTCGTTGCTATAAACATGTTAAGAAAGTGCATGAATCATGGAACCTTCTGTGAGATTTTGTCCCACCCTGCCTGGCCAGCTTCCAGCAGCGTTATTTGTTCGTGGTGCTTTTATAGCTCTGAACCACAAATCTTCCCTAAACTTCTCTCCCTTATCCTGCTTAGGACAGTAAATGGCACAGTTCTTGAATTCTCGAAGCACTTACAGTCATGATATTGTTTCCTTTGACGAGACTTAGCATTAACATGTTCCTGAGTCTGAATCATTTTCTTAATCCAAAACTAGTTAAAGGATGAGACTCAGACATTTGATTGCAAAGGCAGCGGTTTCTTCTACAGGGTTGGGAGGATGTCTGGGGTGATGGTTCCCAGCACGTGTCCACAGAGCTGTGTCAGACTGACCGAGATTTGAGATTCACTCTGGGGGCTGTTAAGCTTTGGCTTCCTAGGGCTCACCCCTGGAAATTCTGATTAAGTAGATTTGGGTTAGGGTTCGGGGATCTATGTTTAAAGCTCCCCAAGCCATTTTTATGTATGGTAGGTTGCAGGGGGGCACTGAGAGTCAAGGGAACTGGTGTGGTTGGGAGGAAGAGTATATATGCACATTACTGTTTGAAAGGTATACATAATCCATCAAGAAGTATCCCACCTATTCACTGAAGTGTCCAGGGATTCCTCCAAGAGCATAGAACAAAGTCAGAGAGCTTTCTCTGAATGTTACTTGACCTAGAATGGACTTAATGCCTTCTGATTCTGATACGGCAGGTGTCTTCTTTTCTGTTGGGATCTTTTATCTTTTATTATTGAAAAGTGATTTTGTCAGCAATCCTGACCTAGATTATGAAGTCCTCTGATCTTGGAGTACATTTAAAGTTTCCAGTTGAAACTGTTCCCTCAGTATTCAACAACATGCATTAAATTTCAGTATTGTTGGTGAATATTATTATATATGCTTTTTTAATCTTTCTTTAAAAAAAAGAGTGTGGGATGGGTGCATATTTTATTTACAAGTCATTTAGACCTTGTGTCAGTATCTCAGTATGCACTGTCCCTCTACTGCCTTTAATTTTTTTTTCTTTCTCCATAGTCTGAATTGTAATGACATCTACAGTTCGCTGCTGGCAAGATGCTTGTCACTCTTTGCTCAATACCCTCTGTTCAGTGCTAATCTGACATTCTGAATTTTAAGCCCCGTATCTCCTATAAATCCTATCTTTTCGGCCAGATAAGTAGCCAAGCCTTTTATTTGAGCCCTGTATTGCAGAAAGGATGCAAAATCAGAGGATATCAGTGAAATGGACAGTTTAAAAATAAGATACAAAATTAAATTTGTTCCACATGTCACTGTTGATCAAAAAACCTTTCTACATAAATTATTTTCTCTTCTCAGTGTTTTTCTCTGTGTGCTCTTATACCTTAGGCATTATTGGTTAAGATTCTACTTAGTCATCGATTTAGTTAATTGAGTGTGTCATCTACCATATGCCTATTGCCAGCCCTGGCAGACTTGTTTAATGTTTGAACATGCAGAACCACTTGTCTTTAAGTATATACCATAGCAATGACTAAAGTACTTTTAAATTCTACTGAATAATTGTGTACTAGGTAAATATGCACTAACTATTATATAACATAATTTAACAGTTTCAGTTCAGTGGTAGTGATTTACCAAATTTAACAGATGATATAGGTATACTCCTTGTGTTATTTTAAAAACCTTATTTATTTTGAGAGTTTTTCCCCCAAAAATCCTGTCATTGGGTAACATGTATGGAGCATAGCTTCAGATCACAAGATGTTATGGTCTAGTTGAGTGTATAAATGAAACCATGAGTATATGGTGGGTAAAACCTGAGGGAGAAGAGATCACATTTGATGATGTGCAAGATGTGTGAATATCCCAGCCCATCTATTTAAGAATTTTGTGGTAGGTTGAGAAAGAGTTTCCGTAAAATGTTATGCCTTGTCCTAAAATGTTTTTTGGAAAATGTTATCAGGATTTTTAGTACTACAGCAATGGAAAAAAGATCTTTCTAAACATGAGTTAGGTGGACACTGTTCATTTTCTTGTATTGCTTACAAATGGACTTGGTAATCTCTGTGTTGGCTAAGACTGTTATTTACAAAATATAAAATTAAAATATTTGTTTTTGTTTATATTTCTTTTCTATTTAAACCCTGTCAGGTAATTCCATTAATATTGTGAAAACTGCATATATATATATAACACTTAAGCATTTCTGTTTTTTCTTGATAGGAAGAAGAAAATAAGTCAGTTATCCTTCTCTCGTTAGCCACATAACTTCCTCTTTCCTGAATCATCCTGTCTTTACAATGACAGAAAAGATCCCCGTGCCCACCCTTCAGCTGCTAGGTGAATTCTCTCCGTTACTGTCATCTTTGCCTTGTGACATTCATCTCGTTAATCTGAGGACAATACAGTCAAAGGTATATCCCAAAATGTATCTATAAAGAATTACGTTTTTGTGATGTATTTGATATAAGGGGATGAGAAGCAGAAAGAACTGCAGCTGACCCTTGAACAGCATGAGCTGGAATTGCACTGGTCCACTTACACAGATTGTTTCCCATAAACACACTACAGGACTGAAAATGTATTTTCTCTTCCTTATGATTTTCTTAACATCATCTTTTCTCTACCTTCTTTTATTATAAGAATACAGTGTAACATACATATAACATACAAAATGTGTGCTGATCACCTGTTCATGTTATCAGTAAGGCTTCCAACCAAGAGTAAGCTATTAGTTGTTATGTTTTGGGAGAGTCAGAGTCATGCGGATTTTTGACTCGGGGGAGGGGGATCATCGCCCCTAACCCCCTGCACAGCTCAAGGGTCAACGGTACTGTGGGTTTTACTGCGCCTCGAGGAGCCGTTAAGAGGACTTGGCCTTTAGGCAAAATCATTCTACCTTTCATTTGACTGTTGCTGTGTAGTTTAGAGCATATCCCACTACTAATTTATGTTATTCCCGGAAAAGTTCTATGTGGTGAGAAGGTCAGGGTATATTATCTTTGTACAGATAAGAAAGCAAAAACTGGCCCTGGGGTCACATTATAGTAGGTGGGAGAACAGGCCGTAAGATCAGCTCTTCTGGCATTTTCCATTCATTTCTCCTTGTTAGCCAGTGTTTCTTGAGGAGTTAGAGAATTAAGAAGCATAGCATTTAATTATTTCTGTATCAGAGGCCTTGTACATTCACATCTTTCTCTTGAAAATCACTGCAACTCAGATGTTTGCATTGAGAAACCCAACTATTTAGAGACATCCAAAGATATACTAGAGGAAGAGAGGGGAAGGTTTTATTAGATTTGGAATTTTAATTCAGTTAGACTGCTTTTGTTTACATGTATGCCTACTTTTAAAGTCAGAGATTGCATTTGAAAAGAATAAAAATTAGACATTTGACATCATTTTTATCTTTTGTAGAGCTGTTTTGTGATATTGTGAATTGACATATGTGTAGCTACAAATAGTCTTAAGTGCTTAGGGATTCTGCAGGGAATGTAATAAATGGTCTGAGTATGAAAAGAAGAGAATGCTCATGTTTGAAGACCACATAAGAAGAGAAAAATGTTTCGTTTAAGCACAAAGAACTAAAGCAAACCAAGTAAAGTAAGGCTAAATGCCTGCAAATTTGGACATATAGGGCTTTTAAAACTGTATGACCAAGAGAAGGAACTTAGGCCTATGTAGGAATATCCATGAGGCTTATGATAATGAATACAGGTGAACACAGGAGGCCTGCGTATATCTGCATGTGTCAAAAGCCTTGTTTGATCATGCGAGCGAACCAGGATTTATTTCATGCCTACTACGTGCCAGTTATAGCTAAAGGCAGTAGGGATACTGTCATGAGCAAACCAGACAATCACCCCTGCGTTTCTGAAGCATGGATTCTGGTGGGAGGAGAAAAATAAGAAAAAATAAGAGAAACATATAATGTGTTAGATGGTGATAAGTGTTAGGGAAAATAGGGAAGGATGGTTCTGGAAGATGATGCGAGTTTGCATAGTGTGGTTGGAAGAGGACCTTGCAGAAAGGGTGTTAATGGAGTAAAAATCTGAAGGAGGTTAGAGAGTAAGTGACTCATGCAGATTTCTGGGGGTAGAGTGGTCCAGGAAGAGTTACAAGCAAGTAGAAAGGCCTAAACATGGGTGCCGTGGTGAGAATAGAAGCTCCATGTGAGCTGGTCTTTTCTTTGATTCCTTGCTGCATCCTGTTGCCTAGAAGAATGGTTGCACATAGAAGGGGCTCAGCAACAATTTGCTGATTGAGCGAATCTCATGAGCTCTGTTTCTAGGATTCTGCTAGTCTTTTGTGGGTCAACTTTTTGACTCATGGAAAGAACACACCAGCGATGGATAGCCTCCCTGAGCTTTTCCTCTCATTAATTCATAAGCCAAAGGGAATGAGGGGATGGGGGGGGTGGTACTAAAGACTCTGAGCCTCAGGTTGCCACCTCTGGGCATGATGGTAGAGGACATTAGCAACCTAAGGATCTGAAGGCTTCTGGGGCACATGGCGGCCACTGTTCCTTAGCCTCGTTTCTAGATGACTCTTTCCCATGATTGTTTTCTGGAAGCAGATCCAGTTGTCTGGAGTCAATGAATGTTGCTATTCAGTTGGTTCACACTCTGAAGAATTCGGCTCCGTGTGGTCTGGTCTCCACTCACTATGTCCGCTTGGCTTCCCCTTGTTCCTCACACCCTTCAACAGCTGGCCCACCTCCACTCCCTGATGGCTGGCCGAGTGCCGACTCAGCTGCCCGTTATAAAATGGGGCTGATATCAGATCTGCCTGCTGCGGGTCTGTTGTGAGCAACACATAAACTAATGCTTGTGAAAGCCCTTTGGAAACAGAAGTGCTTTATAAACATACGTTGTCCTGATGGTGCTTATGGTACTTGCCGGCTCAGGTGCAAACTAGGGTTTTAGCAGAGGAAATAGAAAGCAATTTAACAATTTGACCAGGAAGAATAAAGGCTGAAATATTATGTGTAACCATAACTAGCACACTGGCACATGATCAGAAGTCGGTATTATTGGGGGCTGTTTTACTTTATCCTATCAATCAGTGCCGGTTCCTGTGTTAGTCTTTGACTCTTAGCACATATTTCTAACAGTTGGTTAAAAGCTCACCGGTAATCCAAGGGGATTGATTTGTCCATTCAAAATCACTTCTTTAAAGAATTGCATTCTGTCCCTTAACCTCTGATAATAGGAAAATAATCATTGAAAGAAGCTGACGTAGGTATTGAATCAAAGAAAGCTCGGTACTTAAAAAGGTGTCAAGTGTAATTTCATGGTTACACTAAAAGAAGACAAAAATCACTTGGAAGAAATCCAGAAACCAGACCTCAGCATTTTGGATTGTATCCCTATTTCTGTGTGCTGGCAGCTCCAAACATATAATAATGAATTGTTCCTCTGGAGGTTGCAAAGCATTTTTCCCATTGAAGTAGTGTGAACATAGCTCTTAGCTTCCAAGCCAGACCAGGGTCTCCACTGGCCTGTATGTAAGTAAGCATTTTCCTAACTACCACCTCCCACAAGAAACATGTCTGAGAACCACCTTCACAGGATGGAGGCATGTCTTTGTTTCTGCCGCACCTCCTCGTCGGCAGCGGGATGGAGGAGGCCCCTGCTTGCCCAGCTCCCGGGTCACCGTCTGATGGTTCCTCAAGTTCTAAACGTCACATGGGCAGCCTGACTCCTCAGGGAGAAAGGGGTTATGGACTCGAGCAACAGTGAGAGAGGCAAGGTAGGGTTGGAGGTGTTGCTAACCCACCAAGGTGCTGCAGCATTTCCAGCTACCAGTCCTCAGAGTCCTATGTGTCCAGATCACACCAGGGAGATTTTGAAATAGAGAAGACTTACAAATTTCCCCATCTCTGAGATTCTGATTCCCTAGGTCTGGGGTGGGGCAACTTAGGAATCAGTAATTTTCAAAAACTCTCATGATTCTAGAAATTACTGTTATCTCCATTGACTAAGTTGGGAAAGTAAAAGTTAGAAATTAAATGACTAAGACAAAATTACACAGTGGTACATGGCTGAATTAGGGCCCACATGCAGGTTTTCTGAATCTGGGTGCTGTACAGGGCCTTAGAGGGTGGCGTTTGACTTCTTAAGAGTTACTAAATCTGTTCCTCAGAGTCCAGTTTTTCAGGAATTATTCTGTATTGGTAGATGAGTTTATGGTTTTATATAAGCATATGTTGCTCTTATTTTATATGTTTTTGGAAAAAACTGATTGCATGTCATCTAGTTGCAGTCAGAGGACGATGGGAGCAGGCATCTCTTAAACCCTGCCTCGCAGCACCGCCGAGTGTGCCAGTGAAGTCCCGTCTAGCAGGGAACTGTCAGCCTTCTCCTCCTGGAGGCTCGGCCCCCCTCTCTTCTCTTTACCAACTCCTTTTCTTGTACTGTCAGAAGCTTGAGATATTAAAAAGAAGATTCTGTAAAGGCTTGAAAGCTGGGGAACAGGAGCACCAGTGAAGTGGTCGGGAACAGGAAAACCATGCCATCCTCAGGAAAGGGTATTGATTGGGGGGAAGGGAGTCTTGGTAGAGAGGATGCTGGGAGAATCTCACAGGGGCATTGGTCATCGGTCGGGGTTCTGTAGGCTGGAGAGATAGCTTCAGCCTGGAATGCAGACATTCCAGGGACCAGAAGGAATTTGATTAAGCCATTTAATTAAAGGCTTCATGGAGCCATGCTGCCTTGATGTTTTGCACAATGATACGTTGTTCAACCTTTTTCTTTCCCCCAGATTATTTCCACCTCTTTTATGTTCAGATGTATTTTTATTTAATTCATTTATAGATATGTATCTTTATATCTGTATCTACTTCTCTCTCTGTGTATTACATTTAGCTCTATCTCTGACATTTTATTCTGATTTCTGCTTAACCATTTCTTGCAAATAGTTAAATATTATCATTTCAACATCACCACTTACTGAATAAGATTTTCTCTCTCCACTTGTTTACACACCCCCTTTTCTTATAAGAGGCAGTTTAAGGTTTTTACTTCATTTTGCCTTTCTTAGAAGAATTGATCGGTGCTTTATTAATCTCCCTGGCTTCTGGAAAGGTGAAAATTGTGGAGAAAATTTCCTCGTTGTACAGCCCTTCACCTTCTCTGTTCTTTCTGTCATCTTATCTTGTTGATCGAAACAGGATAACTGTTATTGGACATTTTAATGAATGCCCTGGAAAATGAATTCCTACTGGTTACTTCCTGTCTCAGGACTTAAAATGCAGTGTTCAGTTTTCCCACCTTTCCAGTTGCCAGAATACAGGGAAAGATGGATGTCAGTCGGCATTTTCAAGGAATCTGGGCAGGTTGGAGAAATTCCTCCACCAGCTGTTTAGCCATGCCTTAATTTGTATGGACCTTAGACATTCTTTGAGGAGGATAGA